AGTAAGGGTAAGGATTTTAAGGGACAGAAGCAATGGGTAGGATCCTAAGGGGAAGGGATTCTAAGGGGGCAGAATCTAAGCATCCTAGAGTGAAACTTCAGATGAAAATCTAAGAGAAAACAACTGAATCCTAAGGGAAAATAACCTAAGGTGGGAGATACTCTAAAAAAAAACCAAAATTAAGTTTTTAAGAAACCTAACGGGGGGGGGGGGAAACCTCAGGGGGAGAGGGGGTCCAAAGTGGAAAGCCTCAGAGGGGAAAATCAAAGGGGGGGGGCTCAGAAAAAACCCTTAAAGGATAAGAACCTACAGTTGAAAACCTAAGGAGAAATCCTACGGGGGGGGGGCGGTTCTAAGGTGAAGAATCCAAATTAAAGATCGTACCGGAAAAGAACCTACGGGGTTACCTGAAGGAAACTGAACCTATCTTTCTCAAAGATATAGAGGCTCTAAAGATTTGTGGAAGTGGATTTGATAGCACGCCGGGAAGGTTCTTCTGAGCGTATGGTGGCTAGAATGCACAGAGAAAAATGGTAAGAGGAGAGAGAAGAGAGAGAGAGAGAGAGAGAGAGAGAGAGAGAGAGAGAGAGAGAAGAGAGAGGCGAGAGAGAAGAGAGAGAGAAAGAGGTGAGAGAGAGAGAGAGAGAGAGAGAGAGAGAAGAAAGAGAGAGAGAGAGAGAGAGAGAGAGAGAGAGAGAGAGAGAGAGAGAGAGAGAGAGAGGAGAGAAGGAGAGAGAGGAAGAGAGAAGGAGGGGGAGAGAGAAAGAGGGGTGAGGGAGAAGAAGAGGTGAGGGAGGAGGAGAGGAGGTGAGGGAGGAGAGAGGAAGAGGGGGTGAGGGAGGGAGAGAGGGAAGAGAGAGAGAGAAGAGAGAGAAGAGAGAGAGAGAGAATGATAGAGAGAATGAGATAGATAGATAGATAGATAGATAGATAGATATAGAGAGAGAGAGAGAGAGAGAGAGAGAGAGAGAGAGAGAGAGAGAGAGAGAGAGAATCGGACAGACAAGGCAGAGAAATAGTAAATTTATATGTCACGCAGTCACTTGTATAAAAGAGCCATTTGTGCTGTACACATAACTCTAAACTTTTCTCCTTTCTTAACAACCCACGTATAATAACCCCTGTCTTTTTAAGCCGCGTGCAACATAACGGCCTGCTAATGAATCGGGACTGGAAAGAGCTCCGTGCAATGGAGCCACGACGAGGAGCTCTTTTGTGCTCTTTTGTAGCGCTCTCCTGCTAATGAGCCTTGTAACAGGAGACCTCTGTGTTGTAGACCCATATGCGGGGTTCCTTATGGTTATGGACTCTTGCGTATGAACTAGAACGTCTTTTTTTGTTGTAATGGTAGATCTATGTTATGGTGTTGGATCTCATGGTGTCTGGTTTTGTTACGGTGTTGGATCTTATAGTTTTCGATTCTCTTGCTGGGTTGAATCTTCTTATATTTTCTCATCTTCTTGGATCTTGTCATAATGTTTGATCGTATAGTCTTGGATTCTTTAGAATAATACTAAACATGTTAACAACCAAGATAAAACAACGCTCTCATCTCCACGAGAAGGAAAGGCACTTTGGCATAATTTCTCGCGCGCGCGGATAACGAGCCCAGCACAAAGACCGCCACTTAGGCAGTACGTAAAATACTGGGGCTCCCGGATACCTTATGGCGCCGGAGGAGATGGGCGCCGGTCTAAATTTTTTCCTTTTTATGAGCGAACGAAAATCTCGCAAATGAAGATATTATATACTGTTATGGACATTGTGTAACATGACTGTGTTATTTGGTGAACCTATTTTCTTTTCTTAACTCATAATGACTCATTTTTCTTTGTCGACTTCATTTTTGCATTTCGAGAGACACCTGCCATGACGTGCACACATGCACATACATGATACCACCCCCTTAAAAAAACACGCGTACTAACCGACCGCACTTTGCACCCTATATAGCATGCACACACACATACACTATCTCTCTCTCTCTCTCTCTCTCTCTCTCTCTCTCTCTATCTATCTATCTATCTATCTATCTATCTCTCTATCTCTCTCTCTCTCTCTCTCTCTCTC